CGTGTAGGGCACTACTGAAAGACTGTTTCCTTATCATGGTGTGAGGAAATGGATGAGTTAGGTAGGTTTTGTTACTGCTGTTTATTATTATTATTATTAATTAAAGGTGAAGAAACTGAGGGCCAGGTAAGTTAACCAAATTGTTTAAGATCAGAACTACTAAGTCCCACAGGGGTCAAACCCACATTGCATTCCTTTGTCCCTCTAATTTTTTTTTAAATGTTGGCATTTTAAAATATAAGAAATATCCATTGAAATACTTGCTATTAACACTTGCTAAAAACAAAAATAACTGTTATTCATACTTGCTAAATTTTTAAAAAATAATGTAATATTTATAATGTAACATCTATAATTTATAATATATAAATTACTGCATTTATATATTATAAATGATATTACTCAGAAATGCATGTAAATATTTTCCCATGGACATATATACAAATGTACAAAGAACAGCTGTTTGTAGTAGCTAAAACCAGAAAGTGTCCATTTATATATCCAATAAAAATATGATAAAATAAACACAACAATTTCTAAAACAATGTCGCCAAAATTATAAGCAGCATATTTTATATTTTCATTTATTTGAAGTTTAAGAAAAGAAAAATTAATCTACGGTGATGAAAGTCAGAGTAGAGGTTATTTCTGGACATGTTTGAAGGGAGGTTTTCAATATAAAACACAATTATGTGAAAATATGTAATATATAAAAACAATTTAAATACATGTAGTTTAGGCAGTTGGTTAAAAGTTTATTGCAATATAGATTTCACATTTATTCTGCATAAATCACAGATTAAGCAATATAGTTTCTGGAACAAATAGTCTGCAAAGTTAACTCTGTTTGTTTACCCTGGCCGGACTGCTTTCAAAAATATGACATTGAGCTCAAAATACATACTATTTTAGTGTTTGAGTTTCATTATTTGAGAACTTGTTTTTTAAAAGCTTTGGAATAATGTATTGGAAAGTTGATTTTGATGTATGTTATATATTTTGACCATCGGTTTATTTTTATTGTAGAAACTGATGCTTTTCTTCGCAAACTATTAGTTTTCTAATTTAGTCTGTATACAAACTTTAGAACACTTTGGTTTAAATTTTCATTGACATGTCATCAGATTAATCAGATTGAGATTGGGTTTCCACCTCTTATTCCTCCACCCAGGGAACCTGAATCGTCTATATTCTGAACATTCTATGTCTGTTCCTCTCTCCCTCTCCCACGTCCCAAATTTAAAAGTTAGGCGGCAAAGGAAACAAGAGCGTTGCCATTGTTAAAGTTTTTGTTTGTTTGTTTGTTTTGAGAAATAGAGGCACAACCATGAGTGTCATACAGTTGTGAAAATGAGCACGAGTTAAATAAGGGTTTTATTTTGCTAGATCTTTAAGCACACAGATTGGGGAGGAATAATGGAATTGAGTTGCAAATGGTGATAAAACCGATTCCCACCCCCCCTCCGCCCCATTCAGGATGAAACATAAAGTATCCAAGAAAACAGAATTTGTTCAAGTGTTGATTAATCATCTGCCATTTGCAAAGATGAGCCAAGCTGCTAAAATACCAAGATAAGACTGTGTAGAATGGGCTGCTTTAGAAGCTACGAAGTTTTCCATGGAAGTTCAACATTTTCTTTCTTCTATAGCCTCATTTCATACGTGTTTTTTAGCGCCTTATTTTTGAGTTACAGTATTTAAGATTGTGTATTATGTTACGTACGCTGGCGATTATTAGACTATCAATATATAGGTGCTGGTATTTAATGCCTAATTTAATCAACAAAAATGGATGTAAAATTGTTCTATTTAATGAAAAACAGGTGACTTTGAAACTCTAACAGTTTCAATGCGTTAAGATACTTTCTTACCAAGTTAGTACTCTTTTAAGAAGTAAAGCAAATTGAATCACTTCAGAATGCCGAATTTTTTACGTTAACTATTTTTTCACGGCTTATTTTAAAATTGTTACATATGAAATAATAGTAAAATTGACATGAATAGCAGCTTTGTTACCGAGAGTTAAGAAATCAATGCCGAAAACAAACGCGAGAAGGTCCGGGCTGTAAATTATGGTAAAAGGGAACTTCTCTGTAGCCAGTTACCAGATTGTTAACGCAGGCTTATCGAGCTGCGGTGGAGCTCCTGTTGCAGGACGGAGCTGGCTCTGTTGCAGGACGGAGCTGGCTCTGTTGGTGGGTGGTGAGTGCCTTAACTGGTCCTGAATGCGTGAGTGGCTGGTCTCAGGATAGCTGGCCTTGTAAGTAATGGGATACAACCTCATATCCACGTGCTCTTGTCTGCACAGTATTGAAGAGGAGTCTGCGGGTAGTAATTTTTTACTTTTCTGTGGCATCTTGGCCTTCCGACGAGGTCGATATTTATAGTCCGGGTATTTCTCTCGGTGCAAGGCGCGTAGTCTCTGTGCCTCCTCGAAGAATGGCTGTTTTTCAGCTTCCGTAAGCATTTTCCATTGATATCCCAGTCGCTTGCTGATCTCCGAGTTTTGCATTTTGGGATTTTCTAGAGCCGCCTTGCGCCTTTGATCACGAGACCACACTATGAATGCGTTCATGGGTCGTTTGACTCGGTCCTGTCTGCTATCTCTTCCTTTTCCTCCTGTATCACAGTTTGAACTAGGTTTGTCTGTCCAAAGTAGGGAAGAGTTTTTCCCAAAGGCCAGCATATTTTGTTGCTGTACGCCCGGCCTGTGAGTATATAATTGTTTACACTGTTAAAAAAGAGAGGTACAAAACTCGAAGGTGTGAGTATTCTGAAATTTTCCTTACTATTCAGAGACTTGTATTTACTGCAAGTTTCGTAATAAAATACTTAACTTCTCCGCCTCCAACACCTCCCTTTAAACCCGCCCCTGGCCATCTGCCAAAACCCAACCACGCTACCCATTCTGAAGTAAAACATCCTAATCCATGACAACACACTGCCTATTCACTCTGCTTCTAATCTGCCAAGTGGAAGGCTCTAAATCCTGAAGGTGGATTTGGAAGTTGTCATAAAATATTTTCATGTAATCAAACCGTAGGAAACTTCCCTCTAACTATTGCAAAATGGGACTAACAACAACTATGATTGCACAGCACACAGCTTATTAAAAATAAAAATAAAGTTTCAACAAAACTATATAAGAATAACGCCAAAATCACCAAGAAAATACAGTTGAAATGATGCCTGAATTACACACAAATAATCCATGTAACCAAATAGAGTTTATGCAATAAATGTTGTGATGCATTAGTATTAGAAACAACTGAAAAATTAACTTTAGTCAAAAGATGAGTGTAACTTCCTTAATTTATATCCTTGTCACCTAATATAATATTCAAGATCCAAAAAAAATGAGGATATATTCTGTCTTTACTCAATTTCAAACAGATATCCTAATGCATAATCAAATGTTTACATTCCACTTATGGACAAAAACAGACTTTGTAAAGCTGGAAATCGTTTACTATATGAGAAAACAATATGCTGCTTGAAAACGAATTAAAACTGAAATCTAAATTAAAAAGTAATATATACTGTAACGTATATGAACCTTAAAAACATCATCCTGGGCGAAAGAATGCAGATACAAGAGACTGCACACTGAATGAATCCAAATATATGAACTATCCAGAAAAAGAAAATACATAGATACAGGGATTAGTGGTGGCCAAGCATTGGATAAAGGAGAGTGAGCATGGGAGTAAATGCTAAGAGATGAAGAATTTCCTTCTAGGGTGACAAATTGTTTTGGAACTAGATATGATGCTGAACAACTAGGTAATGCTGATCTACATTCTGACTCTACTTAAAACTACTGAATTTTATAATTTATATTCTTAAAGAATAAAATGAATTTTATGTAAATACAATAATGAGAAATAAGAGACAAATAGGACTTCACGGGTATTGTGCTGGCTGGAAAATTACTGCTTGGCTATCGCCCATGGGAACATAACATTCTAACAATAAGCTTTCTGCTTCTGTACCCCCGCTTGCACACCTGACCTATGGGTTGACAGGTAGTGAATAGGAGAAAAATAGACCTTTGTGTTTAAGACAGAATGAGGAATGGGATTTAGGGCTTAAAAACCCTGTACCTCTACATTTCAGGGCTGCTTAATTTGGGGTCTGCGTACCCCTGGCAGACCCAGCTGGCTGAATAAAGAGCATGTTTCCTATAAATCACTAATTTCTGGTGGTCTGTGTGTCTTTCAGGGGCTGGCAGCTACAACAGTATCTATACCATTATGTGGGGTGTGGTAGTAACGATGGGAAGGCAGTCAATACAACTTAAAAAGAGATAGATTTATTTTTGGACCTCTAGCTCTCATAATCGTGTCCGGCATATATAAAATTCTTAAAAAATTTCTCCAATGCTTTAAATAAGAAAAGGAGTGAAAATAGCCCCAAGTTGGGGGCAGAAATGATTGACTATACTCTTACAATTTAGAGGAGTTGTAATAGAAATTCTGAGTCTACGGCCATCTACCCTGAACAAGCCTGATCCTGTCTGATCTTGGAAGCTAAGCAGGGTTGGGCCTAGTTAGTGTTTGGATGGGAGACTTGGGAATTCCGGTGCAGTAGGTGAAAAAAAAGAATGGATACGTGTATTTAAAGTAATAATTTTTCATAAGACACAAAGGAGAGGGGCATGAGGAAGGCATGGTACACCTATCTCTATAATATTATATCAATTATTTAGTTAAATTTTTTTTGAGTGCATTTTTGATGTTTCAACTCATTTTGATCTCAGAACTACATTTTGATTCTCAGTCTCTGTGCCCTGGTACAATATTAAACAGTTCTCGCAATATTTATCTTTTATATCAGAGCATACAACTATGATCCCCTGAAATCCTGGGCACAACATTCCCATCTCCAAAATTTAGTAACTAAAAAGTTAAGGCACTTCCATGTTATATGACTACAGCTTTCTTATTCATTAATGAATAAGATGAAAAGAGATTAACAATTGTTAAATATCTTTTCATCGAAGAGACTCAGAAGTAAAGGTGATGCAGGCAGGACAGAAAATTTCCTCTTTTTTTTTTTTTTTTTTTTTAGGTGGTAGAGAAGAGAGACCAAGGCCTGCATTGAGAGAAGGGGGTCCTTTGGCAGAGAGTATAGAAAGAATTCAATATACATGTTGAAGTTAGAGTCAAAAGGAAAGATTTTTTGGAGAAAGGGTAACACAACAAAGACAGAGCATGGTCTCCATCCAAAGCAGAGTGAGAGAGCCTGAGAGAGACTCAGAGGGACAAGAACACTATAGACTAGGACAGAGAAAGAGACAGAATAAAAAATACCAAGAGCAAAACAGTAATAGAGACCAAGAGAAAGACACTGAGAGGGATGATGAGTTTGGGTAATCCAGTTTATAAATCATTCTTTAGTTCCTAGAATTATAGTTTAAAGACTTTGTTTTATCCTTTTCCTTTGATATGGACACACAATGAGAAAGGGAAAAGGGAAATATATGTAGCCTGAAAGGCCTGCAGCAGTTCTCAGCCTTTAATCCATAGGTCCCCCACAGTTTTAGCCATAGGCAATGGATTGATTTTATTTTGTGTGGGGCACCACTTAAAGATTCTGTTGTTCCTGTTTCCCCTTCACAGGGGTGGGGAATGGGATATTAGCAATCTCAGCAGAAATCTTTCTTGTTCTGCATATGTCTTCCTGGCCTGGCTGCATGGCTTGATTAACATTTTAAGTCCCTGCATTAAAAGGAAACAAAATTTGCTATTTTGAAGCTGCTTTTGGGAATATCGATTTTAAACTGTTTGTTAAGAAATAAGACTCACAAGGAAACTTTGATTCTCCCCACTTCCTGCCAAAAGATTTAGACAGGGAAACCTGCTTTAGGAAGTTGATCTTTGACTTAATCTCCTTGAAAATTTTCAGTCTAGCATTAGCCAGGAAGCCTCCAAAGTCTGTTAGCTAGATATCCACCTTGTCCAGCAAGAATGTTTCTGCCATGTATGTTCTGTTTTTCCTCAATCACCTGTAAATGTCATATATACCCAATGTTGTCTTTAGAATTTTTGTGGTTATGTGAATTCCCCATGTTCTTGTATAAAATTTTAATTTTCTTCTGTTGATCTGTCTCTGTTAATTTGATTGTTACTCCAAGCTAGAAAGACTGAGAAGGTGATAGAGAGAGTATTACTCTTTTGAGCCCCTAGACAAGCAATCTTAAGTGGTAGAAAGTGATATGGTCCCAATGATGTTTCCACAACCCCTTACCCCCACCGCCCCCTTCAGTTATAGTGGACATTCAATATTATTTTCTATTAGTTTCAGGTGTTCAACATAATAATTAGACATTTATGTAATTGATAAAGTGATCTATCTGATTAGTCTACTATTCACCTGGCACCACACGTGGTTATTACCCTTTTATTGACTATATTCCTTACACTATACTTCACATCCTATGACTATTTTATAACTGCCAATTTGTACTTCTTATCCCTTCCTTCGTTTCACCAAGCCTCGCAACCTACTTCCCATCTGGCAACTATCAAAATTTTCTTTGTATCTGTGAATTTGTTTGTTTTGTTTGTTCACTTATTTTGTTCTTTAAATTCCACATGTGCATATATCATATAACATTGTCTTTCTCGGTCTGATTTATTTCGCTCAGCACAGTATCCTCCATGTCCATCCATGTTATTACAGATGGCAAAAATTCATCTTTTTATGGCTAAGTTATATGCCATCATCTACATGTACCACCTTTTTTTTTTAAATCCATTTGACTGTTGATGGGCATTTAGGTTGCTCCATGTATAGGCTATTGTAAATGCCTCTGCATTGAACATAAGAGTGCATAAATCTTTTGAAGTAGAGTTTGGGTTTGTTTGTTTGTTTGTTTTTTTCAGGTAAATACCCAGGAGTAGAATTGCTGCATCCTTTGTCTCTTGTTATAGCCTTTGTTTTAAAGTCTATTTCATCTGGTATGAGTATTGTTACCCCGGCTTTTTGTTATTTTTGTTATTTCCATTTTCATGAAACATTATTTTTCATCCCCTTGAATCTGTATTATCTTACGATCTGAAGTGAATCTCTTGTAGGCAGCATATGTATGGGTCTTGTTTTATTTTTTTTAAATTAATTAATTTTTATTATGGTGACATTGGTTAAAGCAATCCAGTCAGTTTCAGCTGTACATTTTAACAGTAAGGCACATATATATTTGCACAATGTGTTCACCTCCCATAGTTGTGTCACCCATATTTGGTCCCATCTACTTCCTCTCTCTCCCTTTCCTCCTACCCTCTGGTAACAACTAGTTTATTGTCCATGTCTATGACTTTCTGTTTGTCCTGTTTATTTGTTGCTTTTAGGTTTATATCCCACATATAAATGATATGTGTTTTTCAACTTTTCTGTCGCACTTATTTCACTTAGCATGATTATCTTGTGGTCCATCCATGTGGTTGCAAATGGCAGTATTTCATCTCTTCTTATGGCTGAGTCATATTTCATTGTATGTATGTACCACAGCCTTTTTAGCCAATTATCTATCATAGGACACTTTGGTTGCTTCCATGTCCTGGCCACTATAACTAATGCTGCTATGAACATCGATGTGCCAATATCTTTTCAAATATGAATTTTCAAGTCTTTGTCGTAAATACCCAATAAAGGAATTGCCGGATCATATGGTAGATCAATTCTTAGTTTTTTGAGGAAACTTCGTACTGTTTTCCATTGTTGCTGTACCAATTTGCAGTCCTACCAGCAGTGTATGAGATTTCCTATTTCTCCAATCCTCTCCAACATTTATTACTTGCCTTGTTGATTATAGCCATTTTAACAGGTGTGAGATGGTATCTCAATGTGCTTTTGATTTGCAATTCCCTAATAGGTAGCAATGTTGAGCATCTTTTCATTTATTTGTTGGCCATTTGTATGTCCTCTAAGGGGAAATGTCTGTTCAGGTTCTCTGCCCATTTTTTGATTGGATCGTTTGCTTTTTTGTTGTTGTTATTGAGTTTTTTTGTTGCAATTTCAAAAGAAATTACTTTTTCCACTTCTTTTTCTGATGCTTCTTATTAGAGTATAGGAATGTTGTGGATTTTTGAACGTTCTTTTTGTATCCAGAGACTTTGCTATATTCGCTTGTTGTTTCCAGTAGCGTTCTTGTGGAGTCTATAGGGTTTTCTATATAGAGAATCATGTCATCCACAAATAGTGACAGTCTGACTTCTTTGTTTCCTATTCAGATGCCTTTTATATTTTTCTCTTGTCTGATTGCACTTACTAGGACCTCCAATGTTACATTGAATAATAGTGGTGATAGTAGATAGCCTTGCCTTGTTCCTGATCTTAGAGGGAAGATTTTTAGTTTTTCACCGTTAAGTATAATGTTGGCTGAACATTTTTTGTATATGGCCTTTTTTATGTTAAGGTGCTTTCCTTCTATATCAATTTTGTTAAGTGTTTTGATCATAAATGGTTGCTGAAACTTGTCAAAGGCTGTTTTGCATCTATATAATCGTATATCTTATTTTCTCATTTGTTTATGTGGTGTATCAGATGAATTGATTTGCTTATGTTGAACCATCCCTGTGCCTTTAGGATGAAGCCCACTTGATCATGGTGTAAAATTTTTTTCCTGTTACTATATTCAGTTTGCTAGAATCTTATTTATTATTTTTGCATCTGTGTTCATGAGAGATATTGTGCTGAAGTTTGCTTTTTTGTTATATTTATCAGATTTTGTTATCAAGGTAATATTGGCCTCATAAAATGAGTTAAGAAGTATTGC